GCATGTTTGGTATCAAACTGATGGAAAATCACTCCTGATTCCAAATCTGGTCAGTAGTTACCATGAAAGTGTATGTATCAGAAGTTACACCAGCTTAATGAAAATCATCAGTAAAGGGGAATCTGTTTGGTCATAAATCCCAAAAGGACTGCCACAGACCCCTCCGAAAGCCTGCCAAATGGATGGTCAGCCATTGGTCCAGGAGTCGAATTCCTGGTCATCCCTATTCATGAACTTTGGACCATAAAAACCTGGCACCTCAGAACAAAGGGGAGTAACAGAAAGACCATCAGCCCGAAGAGAGACTGAGAACATTATCCCAGGAGAACAGAAGCCCACAAGAAGCCCTCCTGAAGCCTGCCAGTGAAGGCCCAGGACAGAGAACTGCAACCAAGACAAAGCCTCACAAGGACAGAGAATTAAAGGGGTTCCACTCCAACAACCGCTCCAAACTCCGCGCCTTCCTGAGTGCCATCATCCCGTCAGCTCATCAGCCTCTGCAACCAACTGCCAAGACTCCCCACCCCCACTTTGCAACCAAGTAAACCAACTTCTTTTCATTCTAACAACCTAAGCTGTTCTGTTAACCTGGTATATGACTTTAGGGTCGTGTTTCCACAAACTGTGCTTGCTTTGCAGAACAGTATTTCCCTTTTAAGGCTACTCATTTCCCTAGGTGGGCCCACCACCCGCAAGGGGAATGTCAGGGGTTCGGTGCATTGTGGATCGGGTGGCGGCCAAGGGAGGCCCTGGCGGTCCGATACCCGGCTGACAAAACTGGCTTTAGGGACATGGAATGTCACCTCTCTGGTGGGGAAGGAGCCTAAGCTTGTGCGTGAGGTTGAGAGGTATCGACTAGATATAGTCGGGCGCACCTCAACGCATAGCGTGGGTTCTGGAACCAATCTCCTAGAGAGGGGCTGGATGCTCTTTTCTTCTGGAGTTGCGGCAGGTGAGCGATGCCGGGCTGGGGTGGGGCTATTAGTGGCCCCACAGCTCGGTTGCAATAACAATGGAGTTTACCCCGGTGAACGAGAGGGCTGTCTCCCTGCGCCTTCGGGTCGGGGATAGGTCTCTGACTGTCATTTGCGCTCATGCGCCGAATGACGGTTCAGAGTACCCGGCCTTCCTGGATTCCCTTAGTGGTATGCTGGTTAGCGCGCCATGAGGGGATTCCATCATTTTGCTGGGGGACTTCAACGCTCACATGGGTAAGGACAGTGTGGCCTGGAGGGGGTGACTGGGAGGAATGGCCTCCCTGATCTGAACCCGAGTGGTGTTCTGTTATTGGACTTCTGTGCAATGCATGGTTTGTCCATACCGAACACCATGTTCGAGCATAAGGGTGTCCATAAGTGGACATGATATGAAAATGCCCGGGTCTACAGGTCGATGATCGATTTCATAATCGTATCATCTGATCTGCGGCCTTCCGTCTTGGATACTCGGGTAAAGAGAGGGGCAGAGCTGTCAACTGATCACCACCTGGTGGTGAGTTGGCTCAGGTGGCGGGGGAGGAAGCCCGTCAGACCTCGTAGGCCCAAGCGCATAGTGAGGGTCTGCTGGGAACATCTGGCAGAGGCTCCTGTTCGCCTGAGCTTTAACTCGCACCTCCGGCAGAATTCCAACTTCATACCGGGGGGAGGTTGGGGACATTGAGTCTGATTGGACACTGTTCCGGACCTCCATTGTGGAAGCGGCCGTACGGAGCTGTGGCTGCAGGGTGGTAGGTGCCAGTCATGGCGGTAACCCCCGTACCCGATGGTGGACACCAGACGTGAGGGGGGCTGTCAAGCTGAAGAAGGAGGTTTACCGGGAATTATTAGCCCGGGGGTCTCCGGAGGCAGCTGACTGGTACCGGCAGGCCAGGCGGAATGTGGTTCGGGCAGTCGCAGAAGCAAAAACCCGAGCGT